TGTTTAGTCAAATCACATCACCGCGGGTGTCTCTCTCTCTCTCTCTCCACTCTCACACTCAGAAAGAGTGTTCTAAGAAAAAAAAAGTTCCCAACAGAAACATGCACACACACGCACACACAAACTGTGCACACTCCACCCCTGACAGATCCACACTAAGCAGAGCGCCAGTGTCCACCCCTGCTGAAGCTGAGAGAGAGCAGGACGAGGGAGAGGAGGGAGGGAGCAGTTAAACAGAGCTGAAGCAGAAAGCAAGAAGTTTCTAGCAGGGCGACGAAACTTCAAAATACAAATCCAGTTCTGCTTGTTGTTCTAAGGTAGAGGCTCAGAGGTCTGAGCCGGAGCGATTTGTTTATGAATGGAGTGGAGGTGAACTGAGACTGTCTCTATTGGCAACGGCAATCTGGACCGCATCTAACCCCCTCCATAAAACAACAAACACAATAAAAAGGAGGAGAAAGAGTGAGAGAGTGAGTGAGTGGTCCAGCCAGGAGAAAAAAAAAAGATTTTGGCAGCGCTGATTGCACCCTGCTTTGGAAACAAACATGGAAGTCTCAGTTTCTCAGGAAAAATAACTTCCCTTACATAATCACACTCTTAAAAACAGGTATAAAAGTGGTTAAAAGTGGGGACTTTAGCTTTAGTGAACCAACTTTTTTTTTACATCGCTTTTTATATCATATTTTTTTCACGTGTTTTCTTTTTCCCCTGCATGAAATAACTCAACAACTCCCACCATCCCCACTCCCTCTTTCTCCCTTTTTTTCCCTTGGCCTTTTATCCTCTCTTTTATAAACACAAGCAAAACCATGTAAATATGTCTGCTCTCAATACTAGCTTTCTTCCTAATTCAATCCTTTCCCAGGATATGAGAGGATGATCTGAGATTCGCTACGCAACACTGCAGCTGAATAAAGACCTGTTCTATCTAACAAGCAGGTTGGGGCAGATGGGGGGAGGGGAGGGGAACAGGAGCTAAACTGGAAACTAACATGTTCTCCTTTAATTGAGAGGGCAAATCTAAAAGACCTGCTCGCACTAATTAGAGTGCCAGCAAGCCCCCTCCAGTTATTAGATAGGAGGGGAGCAACACCACACAGGGACAGTTCCTCCTTTTACATCTTTCTAATTCTACCTATGTAATTAGCACCTACTTGCAATAAACCTGCTCTAAATCCACTTATTTGAACTCTTGAATCTATTTGTAGGCGTTTCATTGCTTGTAATGTCAATAAAACTGTAGACCCAAAAGATAAAAAGGCAGTAATACAGCAATAACGTGCTCGTCAGTCACGTATGTAAACACTCATGAACACACGATTCTTTATCAGCATGAGATGTATAATTTTAGCATCTTTTTACAAAGCAGTGCTGGAGAGAGTCCACAACGGGATGTCTACTGCTCTATATATGGCAGCAGTCCTTGTTTACCCCCACAGAGTGGAGCAGCTCTTAACAAGTGGGATTCCAAAATATTCTGCCTCAACAATACTGAGTCTCTTCAGCCTGTCAGCAGCTAACAAGTAGTTTCTCTCACTGCTGATCTGAATTAGTGTTATAGCTTGAGTGCAAAGCAGTGCAAACACACTATACGCTTGTTTTCCTGCTGGGTTTCAGGAAAAGGTAAAAGTTACACCGCTGTGTTTGTCAAGCACAGGCCATTATAGAGGTACAAGAGTTGAGACAAAGACCTGGAGAGGCAGGGAGCATATATACTCTAGACCTGGAGCTGAACCTGCTGGACCTCTGATAGATGAAGACTGACAGAAATGTCTGAACTACGGCTGCCTCCATTTCAAGTTGTCCCGATAAAGGATATATGACTTTGGGGCACCTTAAAGCTTGATTTCGGCAATGTGATGGGACTAAATCTGAGAATGAACCACAGTTATAAGACATTCGAGATAGACATTCGAGATAGACGAGATAGCAAAAATCAAGAAGACGCAATACAACATATAACATCATCATAACAGCATCATCACATATGAGATAATAAAACACGATAACAAAAGGACCCGAAGAACAAAGCCTTACAAGTCAGCTGATATTTATTTGCAGGGCTTTTATTAGCAACCTACTAAAATAGGGAAGGCTAGCTGTGTTGGTCAACCTCCCCTAACGCCATTTCCTGAACCCTTTACTCCACCCCCCACCCCCACTGCAGCTGATCTGCAAACTACACCCCGCCGCAAACACACATCCATCCACTTTCTTCTCCTTATCCAGTTTGGCGTCTTAGGGGCCCTGGAGCCTATCCCAGCTAATATACACCAAAAGACGACATACAACTTGGTGAAGCTGCTATCACTCGCTAAGACACAGAAACAGACAGCTCACATTCACACCTAAAGCCGGTTTAGAATCACCAGTTAACATAAGATGCATGACTTTAGATTGTGGAACTGTGTACCCACAGAGAACCCATGATGCAACGACAGGAAAACCTACAAACACCACAAAGAAAGGCCCCAGCTGGGTGCTGGATTCAAACCCAGAGTTTCCTTCCGTGAAGCAATATTGTTAACAATGGTTAATGGTTAATCAACTAGTTTATAAACTAAACCAAAAACAGAAAACCTTCTATGGTTCAGGCTTCTCCAGTGCAAAAGAGTTTCTGCTTGTCTTAGCCAAATGTTGTGATCAATTTACAGATATTTAGTTTAGGGCTAGTGTTCAAATGGAACGATTTGTTTGATCTGTTACTCCAAGAACTAGTTATGGGAATGAATGAGATTACTGGAGGAGAAATGACAGAAACTGCATCCGCGCCCTCTCTCTACACTCACATCTTAGTGCAATTTAGTTGCATGGTGTCTAACACATTGTCAAAAAAGAGAAGACAAAGTGGGACAGACAACAAAACAACAATGCATTGCTATCTATTTTGCATTTAGGGAGTGTGGTTGGCTTAAATTTAAACTAAATATATAACTTACCACGATGCTGATTGTAAAGGGTAAAACATTCCTTATACCAGCTCTCTTTTTGGAGCGGTGATTTTTGAATAGATTAAAAAAGGAAACAGGCATCTTAAGGTTAAACAGATTTAAACTAAATCTCTATATATGGAATTATAACTATACAGTAATAGAAATGTTTAGGGTTTATCGAGGTCAAACTTTACTTTGTACATTAAGACATACCCTCATAAGTGCTTTTACCACATTTATTTATTTTCAGGCAAGCTGGCTTGCATTGTGGTCGCCATCAATGTATTTCAAGCGTTGGATGATATGTTTTCATGTTTATGTTGCAATTTCCTTAATGATCAGGCCATTTCCATTAACTTCAGCCAGCTTCCTGCTAACAGCTGATAGGCACTGTAGCTGAGAATGATTATCTTGATAGTGACATGAATCTTTTATGATCGTTTTATATAGAGGACCTCATGCACAGACTTGATAAGTGCAATATATAGCATAAGGCACAGTGTCAACAGAAGATGGAAAGAATAAAAAGCTAACAGTGAGAATGATGATGACAAATAAACTGTGTGCATCTTGTTAACGACAGGTCAGTTGTATGACTGAACTTGAAAGACTCCAAACCAGGAAAGTTATCTGCTATTATTCAGCTTTTTGCTGCCCTCATATGGACGTTTTGAGCCATGACATAGCGGGGAGCAAAGCAACTTTGCTTTTGCTTGACCTATGTCACTATTGGTCTTACATCAGAGCAGACTATAAATGATAAAGAGCACTGGAGTGGTTTTTCAGGATTTTTATCATTTGTTTTTCTGGTTAATCAAGCTCACAACACAAAGAGTTACAAAGGAGAACCATGTTCAATTTTGTTTTGTGAGAAACTAAAAAAGAAAAAGACAAAATAGGAGAAAAACCTATGTAGTCTGAAGGACTACAAATGTATATTAAACAGCTTAAGAGAATAAAAAATTCTTTATATTTGCCATAATGATGATACTGAAGTGTATTATCTGGTCAGAGCCATAGCTGCCACTGAAGGGAAGCAGCCCATTTCTACAGCTATGTTTTCTACATGTTCTAATGTTCCTGTGATGTATAGAATTAAAATATGGACTTTAACTAATTTAATTACATGTACATTTTCCATGTTTTTTTCAATACAGTATGCAAATGTAATATGCTTGATTGGTTTACATTTAGTTCATACAATGCACGTTTTTCCTCACGATTTCTTATTTGAGTAAATAAACCTTTAATTTTATATATTTAAGTTGTATCTTACTCAAATGTTTTACTTGCATGTTTATTGGGGTTGAATAATTAAGTTCTTTTTAGTGTATGAAGATTAAGTTGACAGTGAAGAAAAACAACATTTAAGCTTTAAAATAAGAAGCTAAACTATATCAAAATAAAAATATAAATTAATAAATGAATGTGCATTTTTTTAAATCTTCGGCATGGCTAGACGAGGTCTTTATGGGTAACCGGAAATCCTGACCTGATCATTTTTCAACATATGTAATTTTATATTTTAAAATTTTCCTTGCTTTGAAAAAAACAAACAAACATATAGTGGTATGTTTTCCTGCTTGTTTGTTTGTGTATTTGTTTCCTTCCACCTCTGTCCGTATTATTATTATTATTATTATTATTATTATTATTATTATTATTATTATTATTGGTGTTGGCCTGTAGTCTCTGCGCTGAATCTAAGCCCCCTATATACATGCACGCGGAGGCACATGGACTTCCCACGCATTCCACACATTGTACCGCCTTATCAAAATGATTCATCAGGGCAAACCTGGTAAATCGGGGTCATTGCCCTGACGTCGCAAAGACCAGCAGGCAGGTGAGTCTCAGGTAAAGCGTGACGTCAGGATGATACTTTCGAACTCCTTGCCAGTAAATCTATAAAGGTGTGTAGTCTTACTGCACAGGTAGCCTGAACCTTAGACTGAAATGAAAACAGAGCTTGCTGAAGATAAACTCGGGGGCCTAACATGCTCTTGGAGGTTTGATTTTTCCAGGTCTTCCAGAGATTCACCCTACCTGTCGAGCGAGGATACCGGGATGTACCCGAGCTCTGCTTCTATCAGACAAACGGCTCAGGCTCTGTCACTGAACAGTCAGTACATTCCGCCTCCGTATGACTTCCCCAGCTACCACCATCACGTCACGGGAGTCGGTGATTTGTCGGCAAGTACCTGGAACCCCCTTTACGCGCCCCGGGAGGAGTATCCCTACAGCTTCCCGGGGTCAAGCCCCAACACCGCGCAGGTCAACTTCACCTACCCGGATCTGAGCAACGTTCCTTCCGCCGCTGGAGGGGGATCGCTCACCCCTTACAATTTCATCTCTGGACAGGATCCCCTCATTCCCAGGAAAAGACCACAGGAGCCCGTTAAACAAACAACTTCAGGTGGGACTTTACTTTGTCATACTTATTCTTAATCATAGGCTTATTTTGGTCTGCATAATGTATTCAGTGAATTATACAGATATAAAGAACATTTGTAACATCTTCATCTAAAGTTGCTTCGTGCATACAAATATCTGTTATCTGGAGTACTTCAAACGCACTTGTCTCTGTTTTTTTTTCTTCTTCTTCTTCATTCTCGCGACTGATCACATATTAGCTGTCACTGTGTTAACAAGTGTTAACGAGTGACACAAACAGGAAATGCAGCATCTTGATAAGACACATCCTATAGGGGAAGGAGATTACACAACCTCCTGGGTTACCTTTGTAGCTGTCACTGTGGTTGCATGACTAACTAAACCTAAAAAAAAAACGTACAAGTATGGGTAACACATGAGAAACACATGCAAACCTGTTTTAAGTGAAAAACAAACCCAACTTCAGCAGGCGCACATTCATCAAGGTGTTCGCCTCTCTTTGGACAATCATGCTGTGAGATGTCAATGCAAAGCTAACAGTGGAGGCCATGAAGTCTACACGAGTCTCACACCCCACCCTCTCTGTCCACTGGGTGGGTGTGAGATGGTGACAAACTGGATAGATAACACTGGAAGTGCAGGAAGTCTGCAGAAGTTAAACGAAGTCTCCTCTAGAGGCTAACCCTCTCTTAACCCTCTTGTGTGTATCTGTGTGTGTGGGTGTGGCTGGATCAATGCTGTCACATGAGCTAGTTTTCTGATCAATAACTGTGACTCCTAGTTTCTTGAGTGTGTATGTGAACATGCGTGTCAATGAATAGCTGCCTATGTAAAGAGCTGTGTAGACAGCACTCACGGTGATAAGGAGAAGCACTGATGCAATGCAGTGGGGAGTCTTTGCCTTCGTTATAGTGTGAGCACGATTAGTAGAATTGATGAGGTTTTAAGTGGCGCCTGAACTTGAACGTGGCACCAGACTGTTTGGTCACGACACACACATTTCGTGACTCACTGACACAAAATTATTAATTCCTGAAAAAGATGTGGGCCATACACATGAATAAAAAATGACTCTATTTACTTACATTCACTGTCTTTATTTTTGTGCTTATGTTTACTATTCTTAATATTTATTGATTTTTTACTAAAAAGCAATTTTTTTGTCTGATTTAGGTGGGAAGACTCGCACTAAGGACAAGTACAGGGTGGTGTACACTGACCACCAAAGGATGGAGCTTGAGAAAGAGTTTCAGTTCAACCGCTATATCACAATGAGAAGGAAGTCAGAGCTGTCAATGGCACTCAGCCTTTCCGAGAGGCAGGTGAGAAGATTAGAGTAAATAAACGGTCAATGTAGAAAATATATAGAAACTGTCTAGGACAGTGAGACTGTGTAACTTTTGCGTTCTCTCTTCACATTCAAAGAATTACAAACGCCTAACACTTTTAAAGTAGCCAACCACATGTTCTGTTTTTCTTTTTTTAGGTTCCTCCTTAAGAGGAACGAATGAGATAAACTAAACTCACAGCAGAAAAACCCCATGAAGCAATGAGACAGAGTGTGTTTCGTTACTGTTGAAACTCAGTTAGGAAACAGAATGTGGGATTTGTTCGGGCAAACCCCCCATGGTTTGCCCGAACAAATCTATAGGCCAAGGCCAAGAAGTATATATTTGTCACCCCCTTTTGTGAGTGACAATAATAAGGAAGGTCACTGCAAATTTAACATGTTTATGTTAGGGGTATAAAAAATATGCCCTAATTTTTTTTAACCTTGTAAAGCCAGAACCACAAAATAATGACATTTTTTTTTAGTTACCGGAGTTTAACCTTTATCTCTATCATTATCTCAAAGAAATCCACTTAACTGCCAAAAATGCTGAAGTATGTTTAAAGTTTGCTGAACAATATTTAGACATGCCTGTGAAATACTGTACCAAGACTTTTTTGATGAAAATCTTCTGCCATCTACCAGGATGATGATGATGAAACGAGGGGTGGACGTTTCAGAAAGACAATGATCCCAAACACAAAGCCAAGGAAACTCTTGACTGGTTTCAGAAACAGAAAATAAAGCTGCTAAAAATAGCCCAGCCAATCACATGACCCGAATCCAGTTGAAAATCTATAGAAAGAACTAAACCCCAGAGTTCATAGAAGAGGCCAACAGAGCCTTCAGGATTTGAATTTCTGTTTGTGTGCGACTAGTTTCTCCACACAGGAGGCATCTTGAAGCTGTCATCACCAACAAAAGCTTTTGTGCGAAGTATTAAATAAATGTCAGTAAATGTGTTCAATACTTTTTCCCTGTGTCACTTCTTATTATTACACATAGTTTATGGACATCCGCAGTTTAATTTGTCTTTGCATGTGCAGACTGGTTGGGTTGTTACTGACATCTGGTCAGAATTTCATACCATGTGAAATATATTTTGCTTTGAAAACTGGTGATGTGTTCAATACTTATTATACCCCATGTGTATAAACACACATGGGGTATAACAAAAATGATCTTGGCATTTTTGTGGAATTTCATGCTCACCGCATAAATCTGCATATACTGCAGATATCTGATTGTAAACAGTATACCACTGATGATGCACAGATCTCAAATATGGCATTAACTTTGTGTTACAGGGTTATTATCTCATTTGTGGGTTTCTTTTTTTTTCTTATGTGAGATAACAGGGAAGGTGGAGCTTGGATTTATTTTGTTGATGTTATTGTGCATTAGAAAAAAAACCCTGCATCTGCAGGCCATCTATTACCACTGTGCTGTATTTTACTTATTCCCATGGTTAAGTGTAGGGTTTCTACTAATGCAGCACATGTGAGCACAATGTTCTCAAACAATCCCCTCTGGAGAAACGAGCTCCAGAGAAAAAAACAAATTCTGCAAACCGTAATGTTAACATATGTGGCCAAACGCATAAGTAGTGTTAATGGTGAAACCCTCAATCTTACTGTCATTATGCTGTTCTTGTTGTTTCTTCTGCCTGCCCTTGCAGCTTCTTAAAACCACAGCTGAGTGCAATTGTTGTAGCTCCCAGAGTAATTCTGGGAAAGTCAGAGATTACTAAATTTCAAGTAGATGAAGCAAGGCAAGGGAACGTTACCACAGAAAGCAAAGTCGCTGCAGTTTTCAACTTCCTTTTAATGCAGCAAATAAGCGATTTATAGAAGAAATGAAAACGATAATGATGTGCTGTTTCTTTTGATGTTGTTTAGGGAACAAGCCATAATGCTCCCTAACTGAGAAACGTTCTTGATGCTGATATCTCATGCATGTATGTCTCAGGTGAAGATCTGGTTTCAGAACAGACGTGCCAAGGAGAGGAAGATCAACAGGAAGAAGTTGCAGCATTCCCAGCAGGCCTCAACAACCACACCCACCCCACCTGTACTGTGTGCACACAGTGACACCCACAACCCCGTGAGCCCCAGCAGGAACATTTTGTCAGACGCAGTATCGGAGGAGTACTAGGTGAAGTCTATGTGAAAGACTGGCACTGTATCTGTGTGTGTAAATAATGTTTTTAATAGTTGTACAAGTTCACCACAGAACGAATGAAAAAGATTCACATGAAGATCACCTCTATTTTACAATGTCACCACCACACGTTTGTCACATGGATCGAGTCGAGTGGGCATTTATTCCACTTGCTTGTGTTAATCATTATCAACGTCAAGATAGCGTTTTAATAGTGCATGCCCAAGAAAGAGGATTAGTGTCTTTCTTGTTGTCTTTTCCTTGTATATGTATCCATTAACAGGAATATAATGCAAATGCAGATATAAAAAAGAAAAAAAACTGACAGCCTTTCTTCTTGTTTCCAAGGCAGTACCGTGACACTAACACGCCTTTTTTATGACAACTTGAAGTTACAGGAAATCAGATGGGGAAAGCAGATATCTAATTCGAAAGGCGGTTAAATTGTTCTTTTTGTTTTTCTGAAAACATGCATTTACTCTACATTTTAGCTGCAGCAAAGCAAGGGCAGCATTATTAAAAGTGTCACTGGTTTTAGACATTCAGACAGGAGAGTTTAGCCACATCCTGAAAAACTGCTGAAGATTGCTCAACTGCATGACTCGTGATTTACAGTCGCTGTGGCACAGACATTCAGCTCTGGCATGGAGCTGGATATATTCGTTTTATTTTAAAAAATGTCTACACTTCTCTATTTTTTTTAGAACCCAATGTCTGTATATATGAAATGTTAAAGGATGTGCTGTACAAGCAAGAAATGCTGACACATTTTGATACTTCTTCACTGTAATGTTAAAGAAAAGGAAGGAGAAACAAAAGATGTGGAAATTTAGTAGGTATGAGTCACCTAACGATTAAAGGTTTTTCCATTTCTAAATAAATGACTGACTTATCAACAGTGCAGTGTGTGCAGTTGTGTAATCACAAATGTTTAGAGTGTAAGAAAGTCACTGTTTTCTAATTTAGCTCTTCCGAATTTCAGTGTGTTTGTGCATGCTTTTGTGTGTTTCAAGTGGAGTTTATGTTGGCTTTGCAGCTTAAACCCTCTCCTCAGCACTGAGGTTTTATTGATTTAGAGTTGTATTTTCTGTTAATTTGCTCTAGCCACATTCATGTGGATCAATTTGCTTTTCATACAACACAGTTTCTACAGGAAAAGGCTTCTTGATGAAGAAATATAACATTAGTATGAAGTTCTATCTATAAATGCGCAAAACGAATACATTGGCTTCCTGTCATCACTTTTAAGACTCTAAATGAGCCTACAACGCTTTATTTGTTAGATCTTTTTTTATGTTCACACTCCTGTCAGAGGTCTTCCAATCAGATGTGACTTCCATAAACTAGACTTAAAAATAAAGGTGACTTACGATTTCACACTAGAACTGCAGAATCTGTTTCTACATTTGAGTCTTTGCTCCAGCCTCATTTCTACTCTCTGGCCTTTAATTCGATCTAAACCTTGACATTTCCTTTTTGTTATGTTTTATTATTGGCTGCCTGTGAAGCACTTTGGTCAACTCCGGTTGTTTTAAAGGTGCTATATAAATAAACATGACCTTGACCTTGACATGAAATTCATCACAATAAAGCCTAAGATGACCTCAATTGTATATCCTTAAATTACAAAAAAAATAACAATAAATAAACACATTTACATTCCTTAACAATCTTTTTTCTTCTTTTTTTATTGTGTGAAAAAAGGAAAACAATTTTCAATTTGTACAAGGTGTATTAAAGGTTACAGAAAGAGAGGAAAGACACAGGACTATTTTGGTTTTCGGTTTTGTAATTTGCATTATTTATTAGGCAGTTGCCACTTTAAGGCATAAGTGTGTGTGTTTGTTTTGTGCTGTTTGTGCATGCATGCGTGAATGCGGTTTGTATGTATGGCTGAGTGTCTGTGTGCATGTGTCTATAACTGTCTGTGGAAAAACAAAGTCTTACATACACACTTTGTCTTACAGAAAAAAAGTACCAATTAAACTACAAAATCTGTACTGTACAATACTAAAGAAAAAAACATGTAAAAATGTTTTCATTCTCTTGCATTAAAAATATAAATGATATTCTGTTTGAAAAGTATTTATAGTTCAAGGCTTTTATCAATTTAAAAACTGAAGTGCTAAAGACCAGAGAACTGGCGCCAGTCTGGTTTTATAGTTTAACAGCTTTGGCATTGCGAGGCAGCATCACATGATCATGTCACGACAATTATAAAATCCCCTGGTGTGTATGTGCTTCAGCTTCTCAATAGTGAATGTGCAACAGTTCACTCGTTTGCATTTCCTATGCCACACACGCATTAAAAGGTAAAAACAACGTTGCTCATACTGGCGCGCTCTGATGTACAAAGCAGCATTTGCTGACTGATCACATGCTCAAAAAATAAACTCTGAGGAAACTACAACTGTAATGGACCATAAACACCAATTTTATGGCAGTATGAATCAGCATAAAGTCAGTGCATGGTTATCAATCTTTAACCCCATATCTAACCAAATGTATTTCATCTGTTTTGTGCCAACAGTTGCAACTTCTGCATTTGTCAGGTGACAAAAATATTACCAGTATTTTGGAGCAAACACTCAACCATGAAAGGTATTTTCTTCTTTTTATATAACAGTCTAAATGCAGAAAAGAGGAACTGAAATGGGCAAACATTACAGTAAACCGAATGGGACCAAACTCATTCGGCGCCATTTCATTTAAAATATGGTTTATACAAATGTGTTATCGGCCTTCCTGTGCTTCAAATAGACGCGATAGTCGGCCTGACCGTGTTCACACCCACACCAAGGATGCCGGGACTGTGAATGACCCTATTTAGAATTACTCTGCATCTGTAAGAAAAGGTTCACCGTGCAGTGCTCTGCACGTGCATCTGTCTGAGACTCAAACAGCAATGAAACGTTTGAATCTTGAATCTCTGTAATCTCTGATTAATGACTTGGTCTAAACATGTGCATTATCCTGTTTTCAACGGTGATTCTCCTTTTAACAGCTATTCATCTTAAACATAATTACTTAGTTTTAGTTTTAACACAGGCCAAAATAATTTTCCATCCATGACTCTCACTCCACCTCCTGATTAACGCTAAAACATCTGCTTCAGCTGATTTTTGTTCAGCTGACCTTTTATTAATTTAAAATCATTTGAATGGATAACGGCAGTTCTTCAAACCTGCAAGTTAGAACCTTATATTTGATTAAAAACCATGCACTGTTTGAAGAGACTGATGATGTCATCTCTGTTTTTTTTTGACAGGTACAACTTAAACTCGAACCGCAAACACGTAGGAAGTGTAATTGAACTAAATATAGAAAACATAAGTTGATGCTGTTAAATGATAAACAGGTGGCTTCAGCTCAGAATCTCACATGCAGTAAAACAACTTTCTTCCTCAAACTACAGCTAGTTCACTGAACTCCTTTTAGTGTAGTCACAAATCATCAACACAAACATTTAAAGTACAGTTTAAAAATGAAAAGTAGAGGTGTCTTTACATTTTAAAATTGAATTTCTGAATCAATTTTACATTTGAAGGCAATTAGGAGACAGTATTTATAAGATTGCTGGTCTTGATACACTGAAACAAAACGTATTCTTTTTTTTTTAACAACCAGTGTCACGATTAAACCTACACAGCCCACTCCACTGTATTATTGCTCTAAGTGGTTATTGAACTTTGATCTTATCCAAACGGTTTGAGCAGAAAACAAAAGAAGAAAGAATGAAAACCAACGTCTGAGAAAAAAGCAGAAGTATTTGCATCATGGAAACAAATCCCCTCTCTCGTCTGCTTACTGTGAACTTCCTGAAACACTTCGCTGTAAATTTATCTTTGGACTGAAGAGCCAAAGGAAGACAACCTCCACCTACAAACTACACTGTTAGTAATTAGGTTTGTGTAAATCACAAGTCATTAACCACATGTGTTTAATAATCACACTTTAAATGGAATTTTTTTTTGTGGCATTAGATTGAAATTGGTCGTTTTAGGATAAATGAGTGCATCATGTATTGTTAAAACTATAGTAGTAATGCAGTTTATCAGTGTTTAGACAATAAATAAGATAAAACATATCCATAAATTATAACTACGATTAAAACTATTACAACATCCTATAAATATAAAAGCTAATAGAAAAATATGAATAATTATGTTTAGAAATGTTAAATAGCTACAAAACTACCGCAGCTTGTGTAGCGTCATATGAAATGATAACCCAGATGTCACCTAAGTCTGAGTGTGCTGATGCTCTTTTATATAACAGAATCACAGTGAAAGCAAAGAAAATCAATACGTATGAAATCTGAAGGTTTTTTATTTTTCTGATGGGAAATTGAATTAAATAAAAGACCTTTTGGCATCTTGACATCATCTCTTCTCTCCATGGACCTTCAGTCTGTGTGAACACACCAATAACCTAAATCACCGGAATCTTTGGACCTTTGCATACATACAATCATCTCCTGTTGGTTCAGTGTGGCGAGATCGCCTCGAAAACTTGACTTGGCCGTACTCCACCTCCACCTCCGCCTCTGTTGTTTGCACCGCTGGCTTCCCCTGTTGCTTCATGATCCTGACATCAGCATAGGTTACATCTTGGTCACATTCATCCTCTGCAGAGTAGCAAGAAGATTGTTACAAGCAGAGTATTACAGATGGTTAACAGCTAAAGGTTTTTAATTTTTGTGAAGTTTTTTTTGCTTTCGTTATAAGAGTTTCAAAAATATTTTCACAGTGATATCTGCTGCAGAAAGACCTGGTTAGCTTCAGCTCATAGACTAGAGAAAATGAGTCAGATACAAAAATGGGTTTTAAAATGAGTTCTTTGGCAATGCTTTAAGTTTATAGTCGACAGATTTTGTTACCTTTGTACACAGCGGTCTACTCGGCTTTTGTGTTGAAGCTTATTAGTTAACAATACCCACAGATTTTATATGTGACAGAAGAATTTTTGTACCTTTTGGTTTTGTAGGTTTGTTGTTTTGTTTTTTCCTCTGAGCACAGATCACCGCCACACCCACAAGTAAGAAAAATACCAGTGCTGAGAGAACACCACCGATCAGTGGCAAATTGGCTGTTTCAAAAGTAAAATACATAAAAACAGATGTTTCAGTTATCAAATGTATGTTTTTTTGTAAAGGAACATAAAGAAAGAGAAATTGACATCAGTGGATCTAGTTAGTTTTCACTTACTAATGTACCATTGGTCATCACTGTTGGAAGTCACAGTTTCATTGTTGAATTGTGTAATTGACACTGTGCCAGTCTCCTTACCCACAGAAGTTGGTGTGACTGGGGTAGGTTCTGTTGTTGGTTCAATACACAGGCCGTTACTGTCCACAGGCACCCACCCTAATATCTGTGTCCCATTGATTGAGGTGCAGTTAATGAAGCCTGGCAGAAAAAAACAAATAATTTGAGAAAGATGTTTGAAGTGAAATAGTTGTTATTATTGACTTTCATTCATAATGTTGTCACTCACGACAGGTCTTCTGTTCTTCTGAGACATCACTGACGTTGTTCCTCACTGAGCAGACCAGACGTCCTGAGATGTGCTGTTTCAGAGTGATGATGTTAGTCTCATTATTTACAGAAAGGAGCTGAGCATCTGTCAGTGTGCGTCCATCCAGAGTCCAGCTGTACTGAGGACTGTCCCCTCCCTCAGAGGAGCAGGACACCCTTATCTCTCTCTGGGACAGACACTCAGAGAGCAGCAGGACAGAGGACACAGGAGCTGAGAGAAACACACACAGATGACTTAGATTTCAAATTTAAATCTTTGTCATTGTTGATACTCTCTAATGAAGAACAGGGAAAGCATAAAATACATGTAGCTTGTGTATTTTGTGCTATATCACTAAGGTTATCAAAACAATGTTAAATTTATATCTATAATTTGTTCCGAACAGAGAAAAAAAATACCTTGAATGAACAACTGTAAAGTCCGCTCGCCTGATGATGTTCCATCTGAACCAAAGATTTTAAGGGTATAATTACCACTGTCATTCCTACTCAGGTTATTGATCCTAAATGTTCGATTACTGAGAAAAACGAGAGACCTGTGTGCTATGGTATTATAAATAACCGTATTATTTCTGACATCTAGTATTTTTAATGAATTCTTTAACAGTTGGTATCTAAATATTTCTGAGGTGTTGTCAGTCAGCTGGATGTCCACAGTTCCTCCCAAAGCTCCATAACACTGAGCTCCATCCTGTCTGCCATCACAGTGAGTTTCCACACCTGCATGGAAAATGTAAAAGAAAAGAAAAGCAAAAACTAAAAAAACAGTAATGATTCAGCTTACAGCTCCACCTGACATTTAAGTTTAAATGTTTTAGAAGAACATTTAACAAACCATCTTAAATCAGTTATATCAGTACAGATGTATGTCTGAGTTTTGAATTTTGCAAGTCGCCCAGTGTTTTTCTAAAAAAAAATCCTTTAGTGAATTTTTCAATTTTAGCATTTTAAAAATATATTTAACTCACCCTATAATTATGATATTGTGTTGTTTATGAAAATGATTGATGTTAAAGCTAGAATGTTTTCATTTTTTAGTTTTTGTTAGCATACTGTCTGCAAAATACATTTTACTGTAGTAAAATAACCCTAAAAATTTGTTAGAGTGCACATTCATGTTAAAATGTTGAAATGATATTAGAATGTAGCATTATTGTAAAGTTAAAGACTTCAGAAAATACCACTGTTATTATGTTCGACATGTCAAGAAATGAATTTATTTAATAATTTCTTTTTTAAAACGTCTGTCATTGACAGTCTTGGATCCTGTAATTGCAAAACATGCTATTTATGCACAGAAACGAAGTATGATGAATTACAACATGAAAAGCTCACCATGAGAGTATCCGAGCCACATCAGTAGCAGTCCAACTACAGCTTCCATGTCAGCTGCTGAACTTCTGTTGATCGTCAGCAGCTTCCAAACCCTTTTTCTCAAAAACAAATATGTGTGTGCCGCTCTGAACAGACTGCAGTGTGTCCTGTTAGTGATCAGCCTCAGAGGAGAATGTGTGAAAATCTTTACGTGAGGTCGTATTGAAGTTACCTTTTCATGCACTGAGAGGATGAAAGGAAGTGGTATCAGTTTTTCTTCCCCTTTTAGCCCTGACGAAAAGAAAATTCATGTGTGATAGACTGAGAGGAAGAGAAGGAAACGTTTATCATTTATACTAAAAGACGTTTTGACTAAGACATATTATAGATTAACATGGAAACAATCAATCACAGAAACATGTTTAGGTGGCAGAATAATAATACATCATGTCTTATAACAATGATAATAATAATCCAGCGTTCTAAACCACTTAAGCTTTCCTTACCAAACTGGTAGAAGTTACAACAACATTATGAGTAATGATTCTTTACACACACTGCATACTAGAAGACTTCAGTATTTTAAAACTCATTAGATTAAACTTAGATAATTGAAAAAAGGGTGTGTGGGGTGGACAGCACAAATGTAAGTGCAAATCTTAAGAATGTATGCATATCTTTTAATAAAGAAAGACAGTTTTATATAATAAAACAGATTACAGTTATACTAAACAGAGGTAGAGGTTTTATTATTTGATTTTAAAACCTGAACAATAATGATCACGGGGTTGTTTTTTGTTTGTTTTTTACACAATGTCTCCCTCTAGTGGTAATGAATTATACAGCCTCGGAATTTACTGGATGCACATGTTGCTTATTTGACTTCTTTGTTTCTGGCAGCTTCACAGATACTTTTTAGATTTAATATTGTCAGTTGTAAATCTCATCACATTATCACCCCCCCCCCCCCCCCCCCCCCCCCAAAAAAAAAAAAAAAACTTTTTAAAAAAGTGTTTTGAGGGAAGAGCTTGCTGTGTCCGGGTGGGCAGTCAGAAATAACAGGATGACAACCTGACTGAGTCAGATACTCGAGGTTAGAGCAGGTCAGTAGTAACATGCAGGCTGCTGGTTTGTGTTCCTTTCCATATAAGAATAATTAACATCCCGACTAAAGTGATTTTAAGAAAACTAGTTTTTTCCAGTCTACAGGTGTTTTTCATTGGATGAAGATCAGCAGTCAGTACAGAAAATCAGCATCTTTACATTTACCTTCTGTAAGAGGAGCACAGTTACACAAATCTTTCTAAACTCTCACAGCAATGATCAGGCTTTTTGCTTATTACAATTACTGATAACAATTAACATGGTTAAAGTTGTAATAACAGCTTGATGAAAATAACAATTGAACAAAGTTAATATTCACTGAAACACATGTGACGTCATGGTTCACCTTCTGGTTTACTTATAAATATAACCTTTCATTGTTTCATAATTTTAACATGAAAATACCAACAAAAACCATAACTTACATTTAAGGAAGGGTTAGCAGTAGAAGGCTCTCTTTCAGTGTCCTGCTGCCACTCAGAAAGTATGCAAATACAAGTTAAACATTTAAGAAATCTATCATTAAAACTGGTAGCTTAGCCAAATGTCCGAATGTGTGTTTGTGTGCGTGTGACATAAAGAGAGAGGGGGGGAGGGGAGGGGGGGGAGGGGAGGGGGAATCCTATGAGCACAGCTCACTAACATAGCCAAATATTTAAATTATTTTACTGGGTCCAGTTAGCAAAGCATAAAACTTCATCAAAATCCTTTTTGCACCAAATGTATCTATGTAATTGTAAATTACGGACAATGTTAAACCGATTGGTGGCAGCTCATTATCACATTACCACTGATATCCAAAGAGTTCAGTGTCTGAAAATATATACATTAACAGTAGCTCTGTGTGTCTCTTATGTGTCATGGTAGATGTAACCAGGTTTTTACTTGCATGTTGGAGAATGATCACTTGGATGAGGCCTTGATGTCTCTAATAACAGGAGAATGAAAATCCTTAATCTGCAAATCTGCTGTTGTGCTCTTTTTATAAGCTGGTAGTTATTAAACAAGAACACCACCAACAACAACAACAACAACAATAACAACAACAACTGCAGGTTTCCCCAATCTTATAAACAGTACATTTGCATAATGACTGAAACTAGCACCACTGAAGGAACAATGGGCTGGGAGGTCACCTTCATCATAATTATGCAAATTCTCATGACCACTGATCAATGGCCATGAGTACCATTCACAGAGAGTTGAGGAATGGCTGCAATCACAGCATTGTAAGATGGCGAAAGATGTGCACATCCTCATCATTGTAGGTGTAAATAGACTGCAGAGTCCTGGCCTGACGAGGTAGCTGTTCTGTGCTGTGCCATCTGCTTCGCCAGAGGTTGTTTGGTTTCCCCAATGTATAAATCCTGGCAATCCTCTTGGCACGTAACAGCGTACACTACGGTTGTGTCCAAATTCATGGGCTGCATCCTCCTGAGGACCCGGCCTTCGCAGTCTACGTCAGTCTCAGCCAAACCAATTTACTCATGAACAAATAAAACACATAAAAAAGCCAAACAATAACATTTTTAGGTTGTCTAAGTGACTTATATATTACATTTAACCTGAGTAGCAAAAGACCGCGGTGATCTGAAAATGATGTGCCGGGAGGGCTCTAGTCACCCTCAAGCTCCCGGCTAGCTATTGAGCTGGTGGGTAACAGATGTCTCTGAAAGCGTCAGAGCACTTTTGCAAATATGTGATATCTTGATAAACTGAGCAGATATTTGAAGTTTACACAGCTACATTCTTGCCTGAAAATATGTTAAAAGTTTATTTTGCGATCCAGAAAGAGTAATAAGAGTAATATTAAAAACTTAGTAGCGGCCGCCATTGTTTAAAACTGGAATTGGCTAGGCCACGGTATGAATTCTGGGATATGGTGGGCCACGAGGAATACAACCGACCCATCCTTCAAGTCTGGGGAAAAGGAGGACACATTTGTCGGCTGCATGTGGAGGAGTCTACAAATTTGGACAGCCTTCATCGTGTCGCTGTGACGTAATCGGTCTACAAATGCAGCTTCAAGTAGCTCTGTTTGTGTCGGGGTTCTAATCCTTGGGGTTGACCAAGTGTTGGCGCAGCGTGCTTTGGGGTTTAAAAGCCACAGAGATCCAGTGTTTAGAAAAAAGTGCTTCTCAGCTGTTCCGATACTCCTGACACATAAGGGATCACTTAGCGGTTGTCTTTCTCTCCTGGATCAGCTGGAGCTTTCTTTTGGTGCCTTAACCACATTTACTCAGGGCCTCCTTGATGTGATGTTCTTCTGCTTTCCTGGCCACTGTGTCAGTGTGGATGGTGTTCACTCTATGTCTTAGTGTCCTGATGACACCCAGTTTATGCTCCAGTGGACGATGAGAGTCAAACCTTAAATACTGATCCGTATGCGTAGGTTTACGGTACACATCTGCTTTTACATGTCCCCCATTACTGATGGAAATCTCACAGTCTAAGAGGGCTAACCTGCAACTTTTCATATCATCCCTGATGAATTTGATGTGTTGGTCCACCGAGTTAATGTGATCCATGAATTGTGGTACGTGCTGAGATTTGATTTTCACCCAGGTGTCATCCACATACCTGAAATAATGACCTGGTGGTGTTCCAGGGTTGGATAACAAAGCCCTCTGTTCCACTTCTTCCATGTACAAATTGGCCACGATGGGTGAAACTGGGGAGCCCATGGCACACCCATGTTTCTGCCTGTAGAACTGACCCTTGTATGTGAAGTAGGTGGAATGAAGACACGGTTCCAAAAAGCAAACACACTTGGTCGATGCTGAGAGTGGTCCTGTTGCTGAGGTTGGGGTCATCCTGTAATCTCTTATGAACTACTTTCAACTCTTCCGTGACTGGGATGCAAGTGAAGAGAGATGTAACATCGTACAAGACCATAGTTTCATCTGTCTCCATAATGACATCTCTCACCTTTTCAACAAAATCCAGGGTGTTCTGGACGTGGTGTTCAGAGCTGCCTACCACTGGGTTGAGGATCGAGGCCAGAAACTTGGAGATGTTATAGGTGACCAAGTTGATCATGCAGACAATCGGTCTTAAAGATGCAACCCGTTTGTGTATCTTCGGTAAACCATACAGACTTGGTGTAGATTCGCCTGGGTATAGCCTGTGGTATGAGGTCTGGTCAATAGCATTTTCTTCTTCTAACTGCTTCAGACAGTCTATCACTTTCTTCCTGTAACAACTTCCTGGGTCTCGTTTCAGGGGCTCATAAGTATTTTCGTCACTAAGCGTGACAGCAAAATTCAACCCTTTAGCAAGGATGTTTTTCTCTGTTTGGGTGAGCTGTCTGTCAGACAAATTCTTCACCCACTTGTCCACATCCTCGGTGTCACATCCTTCTCTCTTCTGGTCGCTGAAGACACTCTCCATATTTTGCTGTGGTTTCCGATGAACAGCAAGTCAGTCAAACTTCCTTTGTTGCCTGGTCTTAGACGTCTTATGCTGTGCTAGATGAGCCTTCTCAGTGAAGTCAAACACCCTTTTAAGAGTATTCTCATCTAGAAGCATGGTAAGTCTCTGTCGAATCTGCTCCTCTTGAGATTTTAGGATGTCGATGGTAAAATGCCTCACCCTGCATCTGAGGCTGAATTTCAGGTGGTTCCTGTAATCTGCCATCTTATGTGCTGTTTACTCATACTGACGTACAAGCTTTAGGCAGTCCTTGCCAAAGTGGGTTAAAACTTCTTAATGCATGTTCAATCATCCAGGTAAGCAAATCTCCAAAAGTTGATTCTGTTCATTTGGACATAACGTTTTCAGTGGGAGAAACATTTCGTCACTCATCCAAGTGACTTCTTTAGTCTCAGCTGACTGCAGGTTTCCCCAATTTTATAAACAGTGTATTTGCATAATAACTGAAACTCGCACCACTGAAGGAACAATGGGCTGTGAGGTCTTAGATAAATAACAACATTGTCTAAAAAGTTTTAACCCATGTAATGATTCATCTGCTTTTTTGCATTTTGCAGAAGAGGGAAGACCCCTGGATTTAGTGATGGAGTACATGCAGAGGGTTAATGTGACAGAAGAGGTTAGGGTTAGGGCTGGGTATCGTCACTGATTTCTAGAATCGATTCGATTCCGATTCACAAGGTCCCGAATCGATTCG